TTCATCAACAACGCAGCAACTACTTCATCAAATTTTAAGGTCTCTTTTCCAAACAAAAGCGTGGTCACGATGTTGTCAAAAGATGAAGGCAATGAAGCCAACAAAAGCAGCGCCTTGTCCTCCTCTTCAATCTTCACATCAATGGATTCCAACTCTGTTGTAATCTTGTTGAATTCATCCAAGTGTCCATTAAAGTTAGCTTCCTCCGCCATTTGGAGACCAAACAATCGTTTCTTCAAGTATAGCCTACTTGTCAACGATTTCGACTTGTACCGGCTCTCCAGCTTGTCCCAAATATCCACCGGGTCCGTCAAACCGAGAACCTCCCGAAGAGTATTATTTGCAAGGCATAGGCATATTGTACTTGTTGCCATGTCATTCAAATCCTCCCACTCTTCTTCCGACAATTTTTCCGGTTTGTCGTTCTTCCGGTGTTTGGCCCACTCAGCATCCGTCATTTTTTCTGTCCTCTGAACCTTCACCTTCAGAGCTTTGATTGTCCCTTCCCGAGTAAGAACGCTTTTTACTCGTTGTTGCCACAGAGTAAAATCGCCACGTCCATCAAAAGGTTCGACGGAAACATTCGAACTTTTTACCGATGCCATTTTTCAAGTTCTCGACTTTCTTCTCTTACCGCTTAGAAATCCCTCCGCCCCAAATGTAACTTGGCTTTGATACCAATTGTTGGGATTTTAAGCGCGTAAGAACCCGAAAAATATTGAGAACACCAGAAAAATGAGAGAACAAACACAAGGAGAATATATGAGAGAAAAATTATATCTTCACTATTTCAGAACGATACACAAAAAACTCTCCCTGTTTACAAGTGCTAAATACCAGACACTTTTAAACAGACTTTTTAACACCCTACACCCGGATGTATTTTTCCGAGTAACTAAAACCAGTTACTCCCTACACTCACTCACACAATATTGGTGATATCTTGTGTAGCACCTCTCTCTTCACACCCTTTCCCTCTTTTCTTCTCTCTTGGCCGTGTGTCAACCCACACATACAATTATAAAGAAAAGGATTCCTCTTATAAGAGGTGAAGACCAAAAAAAAAACATCTCCATCCCATATTCCCATTATTTTCGTACACCACCAAGAACCAAGAGAAGGAGACAACTCCACTTCACATGCATGGGTCCACTTCACATGCATTGGTGTGTATGCATGCATATTCCTTTTTTTTTCTTTTTAATTAATCAATCCCAACAATATATATATATATATATATATATATATATATATATATATATATATATATATATATATATATATAAATTGTAATTGCAAAAAGTACTTCAAATCAAGACTTTTGGTTTATAGCTATATTTAGAGCGCATGAATTTAAAAAAATTCCAAAAGATATTTATCAACAACTTGTTTCAAAATAAAATTTAGGTTGAATAAATCTACCCTAACACATACTTTAAACAATGGCTAAAATCCACCATTGGTCCTTCAACTTTATCAGTTGTGCACGATTGGTCCTTCAATTTCAAAAATCCATAAATAGTCCTTCAACTTTATGAGTTCTGCACCATTGGTCCTTAAGTTTTAAAAGTCCATAAGTAGTCCTTCAGGTACACGTCAGCCGTCCATATTAAGTCCTTTTGACCATAAATATTAAAAGTTAAACGAAATACTAGTTTCATATAATACGAGTAAATTCCATTAGGTACGACTACTCTGTATTATATGGAGCTAGTATTCCATTTAGCTTTTAACATTTACTGTCAAAAGGACCTCATCTGGAGGGCTGACATGTACTTGAAGGATTATTTATGCACTTTTAAAACTTGAAGGACCAATCGTGCATAACTCATAAAGTTGAAGGACTATTTATGGACTTTTAAAACTTGAAGGACCAATCGTGCACAACTGATAAATTTGAAGGACCATTGGTGGAGTTTAACCTTAAACAATTAAAGTAGTTGATTCACAGAACTCAAACCAAATAAAACAATACAAAAGTTGAAACTTAACAAAAATTAAGAACCTAAAAATCATGAGTTTTGGTAAATAGAGTTCATTGGTTTAAAAAATAAAAAATACATATTTATTAAAAAAAATTATCAAAGTGAAATTGAGCCAAAAAATCTACCCTAACACAAAATTTCAATAATTGGACTAGTTTCTTATACATAATTGAACCCAATTAAAACAATACAAAAGGAGAAATTCAAGAGAAAGTAAAAACCTTGAAATTGGTGGCGGGTGAAACTGGCCTGGCGACAGCGACGGGCCTGGCGACGGAATCCGAGTTCCAGTTGACGGCGAGGAGAGGCGACATGACAAGGAGAATCCGACTTCGAGTTGAAGGTTTCTTTGATGACGGAGGTAGACGACGACGATTGGCCTACCGACGACGAGAACCCTCACCTTGGTCAATTTTTTTTGGTTTAGGTTGCGAACTATCTGGCGGCCAGCGGATTTAAGTGGAGTAGTTGATAGATTTGGAATTTGAAAAAACAATAAAGAGGGTGAAAAGTCCGCCTCTTTTTTTATTTTTAATTAGAGAGGGAAATATTCATCTCTTTTTAAATTAATTTGTTTTTGGTAATTTACAATAAGTGAGGGATTACCCTGCTTCTATTTTATTTGATATTTGAGGGGTTAAAGTCTGCTGCTATTTTATATTTAATTTTAAAATAAAATTTAAAACTTTGTTAACCGCCCTTTTTGGATTAGCTGCAAAATTAGCAGCGAAAATAACCCTCCGCTAATTAAAATTTCACATAGAGGGGGAATAGTCCCCCACTAGTTTGTCGCTAAATAGAGGCGGAATCGTCCCACTCTAACAATCCGCAACTAATAGGCGAATTTTTAGTAGTGCAAATACTCGTATTTTACAGGTCGGTTTTATGCCTTTGAGAAGGCTCATCGCCTGGACCCCAACTCAAGTGGACGTGGTGAACGACAATTTGATACTGCACTTTTGCAACCACCTGAAAGGGTAAGTTCTTGCTTCCCATAAGTGGCATACAATTTTGGTTAGCTGAGTTTGTCTCATTTTTATGTTTCTCTAATATAATCATTCAAAAATAGACAATTACTATACCATCATTCCACAATTTGAATTGTATAGAATATCTCAACTTTTTACGAACGGAGCATCATACAGCACCGGATTGACATTGCTTAGCAATGTTCGGGGTGATATTAATAACTAACCGTCTCAGTGTTTCATTCCACAACTGAGCTTTTAGTAATAATTGACATTGATCTGTCAGGAGAATGGTCCAACAACCATGATGGGGGGCAGGGTGAAAAAAAGTGATGCCCGAGAAATGCAGAGCTTTTACCAGCATTACTACAAACAGTACATCCAAGCTTTGCAAAATGCTACTGGTGAAGCTGATCGGTAATTTTTGCCTTTTTTATGAAGTGTTTTAAACACTAATAGTGCTCTGTTGTAATTCTTTCGCCCGTTAAAACTTCAGCGCACAGCTTACAGAAGCCTACCAAACTGCAAATGTCCTCTTTGAGGTCTTGAAGGCAGTCAATCAGACTCAATCTGTACAAATGGATCGTGAGGTGAGCATGACAAACATTGCTTGTTTTTGTGCATATGCCATAATAACATAGCCTTTACACACCCGCCCAATCATGTTGGAAGGCCCTGTGCAGTTCATTAATTTTGGCACTAGAATTTTTAAATTAAAACCATAAATTTTAATAACGCAAAAGTATTATTCCATAATTTTTACTATTTCATTAGATACAATATCATATGGAGCAATTACCTTAAACCTAAAATAATGTGAAGACAAGAAATGATTCATTTACTTAATCAGTTTTCTAAAACTAAAAAAGTCTTTATAATTAAAATAAGAAACAAAACAAGAAAAAACCTTTTTAAAAAATTAATAGATCGAACATAAGACAGATAAATTTTGGAAGAGCAAATTATTTTGTTGGGCCTTGTAAAAAAAGATATCCAAGTTTAAGTTCATGTAACATATGTGAGAAAATATATACGGTAAGATTTTTAATAAAACAACTCTTTTAAGATAATAAAACTGAAATAGAAGTAAAATATTACGTACTCCATAATAAAGTAATTGAAAATGGAATTCAAGAAAACTAATTGAATAAGAATTAAAAAATAAATAACAAAAGCATAGCCTTACTGTTAAGGAATGTAGTAGGGTTTGTCGTTAACGGGCTCATATTTGTTGGGCTTGTAATTAGGTCATGGTCAGCTATTATAAATAGCTGATCTATGTGTAATCAAATCATTCAAGTTGAGATCTATTCATATTTCTACATGGTATCAGAGCCAACCTGGAAACTTAAACCCTAGTTTGCTCTAATTTGTTGCTTCCGCGGTTGCCGTCGCCGGTGGTTTGTTCAGCGACGGTGACATCACCTTCTATTCACTACCTAATTTTTTTCACCCAATCGAAAAAAAATCATCTTCAAGACATAATCAGTGCCTCAGTAGCCACAAAGATCTTTTTGGGTTGAGTTAGCATTGTATGTCTAGCCGCCATTTTGGAGCAGCCCAGTTTCGTCGTCCAGGAGCAGTACCCGTTTGGCGAAAAATTGGTGTTGGTGCCTCAAAATTAGGATGTACATAGTGTTAGTGATTTGTCTTCCACTAGAAAAAGGTTGATGTCATCCTTGCTTAAAAGTTTGGGCACCTCAAAGTTTGATTTGAGTCTGTTACTCCGTGAGTTGCGGATTGCTAATCTGGAACCCTATGCTCGTCGCCACCGTCCTCTGTTATTCTTCGTTTCCGCTTGTTATGTCCTGCCAAACATCTGCCAAGTTTGATCTATTAAAGTGGTTATTTGTTTTGTTTTGTTCGCGCTCCGCGGAAGAAGGTTTTTATGTTCACTCTGCCGTTTATTGAAATTTGATGACGTTTTTGGCGACATTGTTTTTTGTTGCTATTTGGTACGTTCAGGTGCAACCAGTTGTATGTTCGGCATGTTTGTGAGGTTGGTCACATAGTCGCGCCCCATTTCGACATATCTGTTTGTGAGGTTGGTCGCATAGTCGCGCCTCAGTCTGACAACACGGCCTCCAAGTTTGGGATGCTTGTTAGTCGTCCCCGTGTCACCGCGTGGGAGTCAATCGTCATCAAAATTTATTGTTCGTTTGCAGGCCCAGTCACCTTCGTTCGTTGTTGTCACAGCAGATCAAGTTCAAGTTGTTTATCAAGTTTTTTTTAGTCATAGTTTTGTTTTATTGTCCAAGTTGTGCATTCCTTAACCTCATGCTCAACTTGAGGGGAAGTGTTAAGGAATGTAGTAGGGTTTGTCGTTAACGGGCTCATATTTGTTGGGCTTGTAATTAGGTCATGGTCTTGTAGCTATTATAAATAGCTGATCTATGTGTAATCAAATCATTCAAGTTGAGATCTAGTCATATTTCTACACTTACTGATATGAATTGAAGAACAAGAGCTTGAAAACAAACCTTTCTCTATTGCAAATGACATTAATTACAGAAAGTTTACATGAATAGATGAATCGCCTAAGATTAAAGAACCACAGTAAAAAAAATAATGACCTTAAATAAAGATAATCAAATCTTAACTCTAGAGCCAATTGAAGAATGGGGCAAATTATATGGTACATTTATCCAATGCCTAGAACATATATGAGAAGTACGGAGTATTATATATGACAATTAGTACCAGTAGATTTGAGAAGGAATACCAGCCCTTATGAAAATTATCATATTCTTATTCAATACAAACATGAATAAACCTGGGTTTTAAATTTTCCATGCTCAGAGAGTATAAATGAGTAGGAACGAATCGAATAGAGGAAGATCTAACGAAAAGGGTATGGATGAAGAAGTTGATGATGGTACTGAACTTTTTAATTGTGAAAAAATTGAACAATACTTTATTTCAGAATGAACATTTCCTTATTTGAGAATGAGTATTG